AACCAACACGTAAATAGCAAAGACAAAGAGACAACACCAATGCTTTCCAGCTTGGGTTTGAAATGCCGCATGCCGTTGTCGGAAACTTCCCCTAAACAACCGGAACAAGAGTTTTTTCAATGACAGCAAGTGTGTGTGTGTGTGTGTCCTACCCTGTTTCTAAGGGTTTCCACTCCAAAAAAGAATTTGCAAGCAGGGGCGTGTGACACTCTCGCCCTACCACACGCAACGAAGCTGTGGGCGAGAGAGGGAGCAGGGCCTGATCAGCCCTGCGTACCTGCCGTTCTACCAAGCTGTGACTCCATTCTTCCTTTGGTTTGTTTTCATGGTGGTTTTCACGCGACTCTCCCATAAACCTATTTCCGTCAGCCGCTTTGATTGCACAGCTGCAGTCATGAGTTCGAGCGAAACCATTTTGTTAAACACCTTCAACTTCAGTTCCGTGGGCACTTCACCTTTCCGTTGAGCCATTCCTTTCCTCCGGGGCTATGGTTAACTGCAAACCCATTGTCCAGCGTTTCATGCAGCACCGCGTGCCCTCCACAGCTGCCGGCGCCTGGCGACAACTGACGATATGTCCACCAACATGGACTTGACTTCAGCAGATGACCATAGCTTTGACCTAGCTCCAACGACTAGCCCGGACAGCTACCGACAGTCTCCAGGATCTCCATAGCATCTACCTTGTGCACACACACCAGGTGGATCCGCATTTTCAACCACCTCCTCCCTCCACCTCTGCGCCTCCTCCTTCTTTCCCAGCCAATCCCTTCCCTGTCATTTCATTTACATCCTCCCGCGCTACACCACCCCCACGCCCCCATCGCCCGCAACCCGCATCACCAGCTTCTCAACAGACACCTCTCCCACCAACTCCACAACCACGGCGACGCAAGCTTCCAAAACGCAAGCCACCACCACCTCCCCCAGATGATACCAACTGGGACGCCTGCGACGCAGACGCTGAGTGTCGTTTAGTCGATCTCAAGACAGACCCGAACCTCCTCTCCTCTCCTCTCCTCTCCTCTCCTCTCCTCTCCTCTCCTCTCCCCTGCTCTTCTTTCCTCTCTCTCTCTCTCTCTCCTTTCCTCTCCTCTCACCGTCACTCACATCGACACCACCAGCCCTTTTTTTCGAACTGGGGACATGTCAGTCTGACCGCTATTACTCCGGTTCGATGGGTGACACATCTCCCACCCCCACCCCCACCCCCTCCACTCATCGCAGTCAGCACACTGGCAGCGCAGCCTCTGAGCCTCTGAGCGCACGCCGCTCTGCAGCGCTTTGTGTGTGTCCTACCCTGCTTCTAAGGGTTTCCACCCCAAAAAAGAATTTGCAAGCAGGGGCGTGTGACACTCTCGCCCTACCACACGCAACGAAGCTGTGGGCGAGAGAGGGAGCAGGGCCTGATCAGCCCTGCGTACCTGCCGTTCTACCAAGCTGTGACTCCATTCTTCCTTTGGTTTGTTTTCATGGTGGTTTTCACGCGACTCTCCCATAAACCTATTTCCGTCAGCCGCTTTGATTGTACAGCTGCAGTCATGAGTTCGAGCGAAACCATTTTGTTAAAACACCTTCAACTTCAGTTCCGTGGGCACTTCACCTTTCCGTTGAGCCATTCCTTTCCTCCGGGGCTATGGTTAACTGCAAACCCATAGTCTAAGTGTGTCACACTCTGTGTCCAAGAGTACTTTTAACTTTAAGATGTTCAGCAGGGGGACACAGCATTTTGGGACTTTGTCCAATGAAGCTACCAGTGAAATGGGATATCCAGCTTGGCCAGCTGGACGTACCTGCTTCGATGATTCATTTCCTATTGGTCCCTGCTTTTCACAACTATTTTTGCCAGCTGCGTCGGTTCTGAGTTCTGCACAAGTGTAGCTTTCGGTGTCGAGCCGTGGAGCGGAGTTTGAGACTCTAAACCGTGGCGTCGTGGAGATCGTTAGACCGCCTTACGACCGGTTTTAAACTTCTATACTTAGGCTTCCCCAGGGCTTGGGCCATGATTTCAGTATTTCCCGAATGCGCGTTTTTTTAAAGGAGGGATTTGACTGTGCTGTGGACCGTTATTCAAGGCAAATATCCGATTCGAAAAAGGGAAACCGTTTTTCTGATTGTGTTGAATTTTGAGCAACAACTTTGGAACTTTTTGGTTTCTGACCGCATTTTCTTCTTGCAGGTGGCTGGAGGATCCCCTAAAGGAGTTGCGGGTCGCTTAGCTGATGCCTTGACTGCTGGAGGTCAAAAGCCCCCTGTCAGCATGACATGGTAGCTTCACAACGAGACGGTGTCCTTGCCTTCATGGTGGCCAAGCACTTGGAAACCATGGCGGGTGAATTGCGTGTGGGGGTTGGATTTTTTTTGATGAAACCATTCGCATGTGTTTTTTTCACGGGTCCTGTGTTTGAGTCGAAGGATTGAAGATGGAAGACACGTCCTAGAGTCAGCAAAATCTTTCTTTGGTCGCTCACCAAGTGGACTGCACAAGCAAAGCTCCAAGATCGGGTTGAATGCAGTTTTCTTAAGCCTGATGATTCATGATAGCTGAGGTTTGCAACCAATTCCTTTTCCCTTCACGGCAAGAAGACGTGGTCAGAAGGTTTCAACACACTTCAGCAGGCTGTGGACAGTAGTGGGGACATTCCCACCCTTGAGAACTCTGCAATCCGATGCCCGGCAAGCTCTAGCAAGAATTTATCACCGGATTGAGTGGAAAGGCTTTACGTTACTTTTGGGAGCATACATGCTTGACAACCCTATCTCCTCTACAGCACTGCTCACGTAACAACCAAGGAAGGCCCCTGATTGAAAACATCACCAAAGAAAAGCACGGCAATGTGTACTCGGAGGAGTATGCCAAGACCTTGGGCGGAATGATCGACAATGTTGAGTACCTGGCGGGACAGCTCCAGAACGTGACCTTGAGCACTACATGGCCAGAACCGCAAGATTGGTCGGCCAACCGTCTCTTGAAACAGTTCAAGACCATCTCCAAATTGGTTGCAAGTCGCACAACCAGGAAGGCGGAAAGAGAGTTCTTCTACGTGGAGCTTGGAGGTTTCGATACTCACAACGACGTGCACGAGACTTTGGATGAACTCTTTGCATTGGTGGACGAGGGACTGGACGTCTTTGTGAAGGAGATGAAAGCACAGGCAGGGCCAGAAAATGCTGAACTTCTTACTACGTTACTACTAGGAGGTAAGCGGTTTGCCAGTCCTCTAGTGGGTTTGATTGGTTTCGCGGATTCATGTTTGCAGTTGTGAGAACCCGTGTGCGCGCAAGGGCGTTTTTGAGTCTGTGGTGTTGGTGACCACCTCCGACTTTGGGCGCACCATGACCTCGAATGGCAAGGGCACGGACCACGGATGGGCAGGCAACACGTTTGTCTTGGGTGGCAACATACGCGGTGGTGAGATTTACAATGAGTTCCCTGCGTCCCTGGTTGAGGGAAACTTGTACGATGTTGGTAGAGGTCGGATGATTCCAAAGTACCCGTGGGAGAGTGTGATGCTGCCCATTGCAGAGTGGATGGGCATGGATGCACAGGACAAGAGCACCGTTTTCCCCAACCTACAGAACTTCAATTCCTCAAGGCTGCTTCCGACAAGCATGCTTTTCAATACGTAGCCAGTTGTGCAGATTGGGCTCGCTACACGAGTTAAGTCAGCACTGCGTTTTTCTACAGCAGGGGAGGTGGCTCCTCTTCAACACCCGCTGTAGAATGTCCCCCGTGAAGGATGCTGAAATTTTGCCGTGCCAGGCACGTATTTCTCGGAGGCCAACAAGTTGCCTCCAAACTGAGAGAACCATCAACAAACTATAGCAGACTTCGCCTGACTCTGTTGGAAAGCATTCCGTTTTCACAATGTTGTTCTAGCAGGTGCTTCTCTCCACATTTTTGAGGTTCCCATTGGGATCATTTGAATGATAGTTGCACCAAGATGTGCCAATTAAATCTTGGTACACCTGTCGAGGCATCTCTGCAATAGCAGACGTGCGGGTGCACAATGGCAGATGCCATACCAGGGCCATGAAACCCTGCCGTAGAAGCACATGCCCTGGTAGGGTGCAAGAGACGTGCCATGCAAAGCAAGGCAAATCTCCAGACCGCAAATTAGCGCAGCTTAAAATGGGCCCATGGAAGAGCACTGCAGTGAGGCGAACCGGAAACCCCAAAGACAGGCCGCTGTGACAAAAGCGGGAAGCCATGTATGACAATACAAAACGTGCCAACGCGTAAAGGAGTACCTTAGGGTGAGACGATGGGAAAGGGTACGGGAGAGTTTCGGAGAGTTTGCAGCAATTGCGTGGAGGATGTCACGCTGCCATGAGTGAGGCTCCCCCGATGGTGCTGCGCCTGCGTGGCGTCCGCTGCGCTTCATCCTGGTCACGATTTACGGCAGCTCAACATCTAAACTGCGATGGCCTCCAACCTACTAGGAATGGTCCAACCTAGTAGCGATGGCCTCCAGCCTAATAGGAACGGCCTCCAACCAGGCACCTCCAATGGTCTACATTTCCGGCGAGGAGACGGCATGGTGAAGAAGTTGGTGCAAGTGATGCTTTATGGACTTATGGTACACATAAACATCGCTCGTTCAGGAGATGTCCCGCTACACCATGGAGCTCATTATGGATAAATGGGTCAAGCCTTCGGTAGACATCTCGAAATGGGAGTTCTACGACTTGAGTTGCAAGGAAGCCGCCTTCGAAGTGCCAGAAAGAATGTTTGGCAATAATCTGGATGTGTAATGCAAGGGTGCCAGACAGTATTCCTACATAATTATTCCAAAAAAGAGATAGGAGGATGTGAAGCAGACTCAGTAAAGCACAAGCATTTTTGCCCGTTCCATGAGAGGAACGCGATGCCACAAATGACCAAGTGCTGAAGGACCCATCAGTAAGACGAATCAAGCTAAGTAAGAAACCAGTAAGAAACCAACCATTTTCAGCCACGTGGCGTGGTGCTATTCGGATTTGGCCGAGAAGCCGACAGAGCGAGAAAAGCGAGAAAGAGAAAGTTTTGCTTTGAACTAAAACCAACCTCATGAAAAAAGCCAAGACCCTTCAGGAATGACATTCAATGAAGTTGGAGTAACAAGAGCCCGCTACAGCGGTTTTAGATTGCCTTTTCTGTGCCTTTGGCAGGATGCTGTGGCCGCGGGAGCTCGCATTGGATCCATCTTTAAAGAGCATGCACCCCATTCAGATTTGGGTTGCTTTTATTAGGCTGGAGGCCATTGCTATCAGGTTGGAGGCCATTGCTACTAGGTTGGAGGCCATTGAGTAGGCCATTGCTATCAGGTTGGAGGCCATTGCTATTAGGCTGGAGGCCATTGTTATTAGGTTGGGGGCCATTCCTATCAGGTTGGAGGCCATTGCTATTAGGTTGGAGGCCATTGCTATTAGGTTGGAGGCCATTGCTAGGAGGCCATTGCTATTAGGCTGGAGGCCATTGTTATTAGGTTGGAGGCCATTGCTATCAGGTTGGAGGCCATTGCTATTAGGTTGGAGGCCATTGCTATTAGGTTGGAGGCCATTGCTAGGAGGCCATTGCTATCAGGTTGGAGGCCATTGCTATTAGGTTGGAGGCCATTGAGTAGGCCATTGCTATCAGGTTGGAGGCCATTGCTATTAGGCTGGAGGCCATTGTTATTAGGTTGGTGGCCATTCCTATCAGGTTGTAGGCCATTGCTATTAGGTTGGAGGCCATTGCTATTAGGTTGGAGGCCATTGCTATCAGGTTGGAGGCCATTGAGTAGTCCATTGCTATCAGGTTGGAGGCCATTGCTATTAGGCTGGAGGCCATT